TTTATATTTATATTTATATTTATATTTATATTTATATCTGCATTTATATCTATATTTATAAACTTAGATTTATATTTATAAACTTAGATTTATATTTATAATTATAGCCAGATTAGATTCATATTTAGACTTAAAATGTATATATATGAATTTATTTATATTCATACATCCAGTGAGATAATTGATTAAAAAGCACAACAAAGTTATTATATATTATGTTTAGCGAAGGTCAGCCCCATAACAGCAACAAACAATTGTCCTGCCTTATAAACATATAGACAGAAATCGTCAGCAGACATTGTATAGTCGGAACTGTGTTGAGGCTGTTGAAAATCGCTTCTCTGTTTACAATATTGATCTTTTCCACCCGTATTTCGTTCTGTTATTATTTATTGGGTGCGTATAAAGTAACCTGACTACGTAGACCCGACATTATCATCGTGATCACCATCATCTTCGTCACCAGCAGCAACAACAACAACAGGAACAACAAAATCGGTATATTTCTTCTCTACTTCCTCAACTTCTAACTACATCGCTTTTTCTTACAGCCAAAGTTGTTGTTCAAAAATAAAAATAACGAGAAAACTAACAACACTGTTATTTATCTTACTATGCTCTTTAAAGGTTGGTGTTTGTAGGCAGGTAACAGAGATTCGGTTTTACTGTCAGTGTGGCTAAAGCGCAACAGTTTACGGTCATTAATCTTGTCAATATTTTATCTCCTGCAACACATTAATATGTTAATTTGTTTGTCTAAGCTATTACTTATTTCACTGATTTTGGTAATGCCAACAGTTGCTTTGAAATGTAGGTGCACCCAAAGCAGTGCGACTATTGAATGTATCAACAGAACCTGTGAAGTACTTTCAAAGCCGGCAGGTAAATTGTTAGCCTTTTCTCACTTTTCAGGTGGACATTAAGAATAAAAGTCGTTGAATTAGTTTAAAATAAAATGTCGAAGTTTCTTCTAAAGGTTTTAAGACAAGAACTGGAATTATTTGCGAGTGAAAATAACAAGAATTTTTTTTGCTTTTATGGTTGAAAAATATTATCTTGTTTTAAAACTTTTAAAACAAATCTATAATTCTTCAAGTGAGGCTTTAATTGGTTAAAGGAATTTAATTGAAAAGTGTTAAATGATTGGTGTTGGGTACGGAATCGTTTAAAACAACACGCTAATGGCTGATTTCAATCTGTGACACAGATTTTAAAGAAACACCGATATCCAGTTATTGTTGATGTTTGCTCAGTGGTAATTTGCTTGAGATGTTCATTTATTCAACCATTTATTAACTATTATTGAAATTACTGTATGGTCTTAAAAGAATTTAGAAAAATTTTTCCTTGTAGCATGTTTGATGTTGGATCATCAAATAACCGGTGTTCATTATGCATGCTCTGCATCGGATTTACTAGATGGTAACTGCCAACAGAGAATTACAAAATCTGGTGCGACTGTAAGGGTATGCTCATGTTCTAATGCAGATTTCTGCAATCAAGATCAGTGGTCTACAGTTAAAGATAAGTCAGCAATCGAAACAGATTCTAAGGGAACTCAGCTACCAGACGATACTCCTGCATCTAAACAACAGTCACTGCCACTAACAACTTCTTTATACTTAATTGCTGTTGCATCATTAGTAATTTTGTTTGTTTAGTCATCAGATTCTGTACAATCAGAGAATTGCGCGGTTTTAGGAATTACGTGTTTGAAGCCATTCCAAATCAAATCACACGCTTTTTCTGCTTAAAATCTTAAATTTACTTTTAACTTTGCAAAGATTGTACGTTCTGGCTCTTGATTTGCAAAGTCATTGCACTAGATTTTCCAGTATAATTTTAGAGGCGACTGATATCTTTAATTCTGTTAAAAGTTATCTTTATACCTAAGTAAATAGGTAAGTCAGAGAGGAAAGATCAAAGTAGGATGACCAAAAACTCTGTGGAACTAAATAATTTTAGCAGTACTTTTGTCAGTACCACTTAGATGAGGAATTGCGATTACTTTGAAACCGATCTCCTCACTGAACCTATTCCATCTAAATTTTCAACTGTACGCGCACTAGGTATTTTCTTATCCTATTTTTATACAATTTTAACACTTGATCTTGTTTTATCTCTCAGTAATTAGCTTCTCTATTGCTTTATCAGAATCAGAATGACTGTAGGAAAATAAATTCTACACCAAAAGCATTTTTTAGAAAGAGAATCGGTATTCTTATGAGTCAAGTTTTAGATTTGTACGATTTATCCGACTGTCATGAATTATTTCCAAAAAAATGACTGTATAAGAAATATACTTTAAAGATTGGTGTGCCCCTGAGTAAACTTAAAAGCATCCTGTTTAATAAGGAAGAAAAATTAGCAAAAATTATACACTTCTTGAACAGATTATGACTGGTGAAAAAACCTCTGGAAGATGCCAATTTCTCCTCAAGTAGGCTGGGAATGTAAACTGAACGGTTTTGCAAATTGAAATTCAGATTCTATAATCTTTGCAAAGCTCCCGGAAATTGAAGAAGTCATTGGTGAGAAGAAAAAATTGTATGTTTTTACATTGGGTGGTCCGCTTTGGTTCGGTAAGCTATCGTGTGATACTTTTTCGTAATTTTTTCCCGCTTGTTCAAATAAGTATTTATCTGACAAAAATGTAAGCGCTGAGAAGCTAATTGTTGTTGTCATTTGAAATTGTTCGGATATTGTTTTTTTTTTTTTGGCATATATTATTAAACTATTCCATACCTTTGTTTTACAGTCTTTTTATAGCTTTTATATTGCTAAATTTTTGCCTCTGCCTAAAAGCAAAAAGCAATTCATTGTTTCTTTATTGATTGTGTAATTTTCTTTGCAGCTGCTAGAAACAGATGCAATATTTTTGCTTATTATTTTGTCCACAATTCACTCTGTTCATCTGTGTTTTCTTGGGTTCTTTGAAGACGCAAAAAGAAAAGCAAAAAGTAATGTGGTGTTTATTTAGTGAATTGACCAAATAATAAAAGGTTTACCGTTGTTCCTTGTCAAGTCTCATACACCTATATATAGGTTGAGACTTTTTTTTCTGTTGCCCTTTCTGTTCTTTAATTTCAGTGTTGTGCTGTGAACAGTTATCATCAATAGATAAGTGGTAAAAAACACATTTCTTTTTTACTGACAAAAGTTAACTCAAAAAAAAAGGAAAAAAAAGAATACTTGGGCTATAAGTAAACACCAACAATGTTTAAATGTTCAGTAACAGGACGGGTAATTTGTCTATGACGAATACATGTACAAACAAGGATTGAAAATACATATATATTACAGTAAATT